CAGGTGTAAATGGTGATTTCCACTACCCATTCTATGAACTTCTTTACAAACTACATGCATTTTGCCATGTCCCCAATTATCTGTTTTTATAAATATAAAAGCATTATGTACTCTATATATTCCCCTTTGAAGAAAAAGTGAAGTAAAGGAGTTCACGCAGTTTCATTTGCCCCAGAACACTGGGTTCATAGAATGGGTAATGGAGATCACCATCTACACCTGTCTTTGCTAATATAAAACTTTATTTACCATCCATTCTAAAAATACAAATATGAAACCCATAATCAAAATGCATACCACCTCCGGCAGCTGAAATATTACTACAGAAAGAAAAAGGCGGCAGAAGGGAAACCTTCTTACAATTTGTTTGATTTTTGCCTTTTTGTTCTAGGTACAGTGTAATCTGGTAAAGAAGAACACACGTGAAAAACAGTAGTCATCTTCATCAAAGTGGGAAAATATGACAGAATGTTGCCCGAGTGCCAGATTTTTGGCACAAGGTTTTTCAGTAGTTATATTTTCAAGAACTGTATAAATCATACTTATAGAAGAAGATTTTTTAACATTTTCCAGTTGAAAAATGAAAACTTAAGAAAGTATGGCCCTTTAACTAAAGAAGCTGGAAAGAGAAATAAATAGCTAGAAAAAGAACTAACAGAAAAATAAAATTTAGTTACGTGGAAAAGTTAGGCTTGCACTTGAACGAAGAATAAAAACACTTGCAATAGAGATTAAACTTAGAAAATAATCCAAGTATGCTAGTTACTGTTTATTATGTTGAAAGGGAGTGTATATTTTTGACATGATGAGGAGCAGCTTCTATAGTTGACAAACATGTTGAGAAGACGTTTTTGTGCTGGGCTTTTGTAAAAGAAACTAATGGCTTGTTTAATTAGCCTGTTCTCAACTGAAGATGTGTAGATCCACCTTGTATGTAAGATGGAACGTGAAATGCCATGTGTAGTGCACAGTCTTGCAATTCATGGGAGTTGTTATCCACCACGATGCAACTTATCATAATTTCGTTAGTCTAATGTAAACATTGCAGATAAGTAGCAACACAATGTTGTATCTTATGTGATGAATTCTAGAGCGTAATTTATACAGTACTATATATTAGTTACATATGATTTCTAAGTGAACTTGTTGAAAGTAATGCCGAGAAACATTATCGTATATATATATATATATGAAGGTGATGGATGTGCCATATAGTTTTAATTTGACTTTCTTTAGTCTCATGTTTAAATTATTCGGAAAATAATTGCTGGATATTTAATGAATTTAGAGCAGTTCACCACTTAGTGCATCATATGGTAATTTAGTTCAGTAAAGTCTGGATTCTGACAGCTACGACTGGTTGGGAGACACGAGATATGCTACATACCGCTGCGTCATCGACGTCATACTGTATGAGTTAGTGGTATAGTAGAAAAGGTCAAAGAGCAAAACGTTAAATGAGAAGGGGTGTAACACTACGCTGTTAAAGGGTACTGTGGTTTGTGAGAAATCCATCTTACAAACATGTATTATAAGTTCTCATCTTGATCCTGTTATAACAGATGGAGTCAAAAGATTTCTCGACATTTAAGAAGATGGTGGCATGATTACAAATAAAACCATGGACGGTTGTTTCAGCTCATCGCATCAAAGGGTCTGAGTTTACGAACAGTGTTTGTGAAATAATGTTATTATGTTCTATATGCCATATTAGCTTGTAGAGAAAAGTTTTAATAGAAGTTTAACGATACAGTTAAGTAGGCTGATTGTGTTGGGTAACATCCGGATCTAATATAGATATTAAAAAGGGGATATAGGCACTGTATTAAATTATTGGAGTAATTTTGAAGAACTGGATTACTCATACATTCCGTGTTTTTAAATCCTAGATGTTAACTTATAATTTATGATATTGTGGTTATATTGTCGTGCGGTTGACAAGAGGTTTCATTTGATACTGTTGCGGGAGAGTTTGGGATATAATAGGGGTGTTTGATGACTATGTGATTGCTTCCTACATCATAATTACTCTTGTCAGGGTATCAAGGTTAGGTGTACTTAAAGTACTCTGTAAACATGTTAACGTTTTTGCTGTCTGTAGCGGCAAGGTTGTTGTGTGATATAGCCTAGTTTGTGAGTTGTCTCTGAAGGTATTTATAATTCTGTTCAAAAGAGTTTTTTTTTTTTTGTCAAGTGAAATGCAAAAGATTTTCCCATCTTAATGTTTGTTTTGAATTTCGCACAAAGCTACACGAGGGTTATCTTCGCTAGCCGTCCCTAATTTAGCAGTGTAAGACTAGAGGGAAGGCAGCTAGTCATCACCACCCACCGCCAACTCTTGGGCTACTCTTTTGCCAACGAATAGTGGGATTGACCGTCACTTTATAACGCCCCACGCTGAAAGGGCGAGCATGTTTGGTGTGACGGGGATTCAAACCCGCGACCCTCAGATTGCGAGTCGAGCGCCCTAACCACCTGGCCATGCCGGCCCCCATCTTAGTGTCTAATGACACTTGGTGTATTATTTCTAATGTTGTTTATTAAGTCTTGAATGAGGGATCGTATGTGGCTATAAATCGGTAACGTGTCTCCGGATAGGTTTATGTATTTCTGGTGTTAATTTCCAGGAGTTGATTACGTATTTTTAGGAGGTACTTGACTGTCTATAGTTTAGAGAATTGCGAGAGAAGTTTTTGGCAGAATATTTATCTATTTATTGTGAGCACTGCAAAGTGGGTAGACGCCTGTCGAGTTTGTTTTGGAATACTAACCAATTTATTTCAATGAATTAATATATTCTGCACTTTTAAATGAATCCATTGTATATGTTGTTCAGTGACAGCTGAAAGGAGACGAGGCCCACGATATTGTTGTTCAGGAGTTAGATGTAACAGGGAAAGGGGAACAACTGTCAGGTCTAAAATGTCATGCAAACCGTTACAGTGTACGTATTTGTGTGTTATGAAATACTAGTGGAAAAATAAATGTACTATAGGAAAAATACCGTTTATGTTTTAATGTTTAGCGTTGAGATTACCAAATACAATTACATTATCATTCGAGTTTAAGACATGTTGAATGAAAACTGTGTCAGGTCAAGTTGGTATGGAAATGTAATTATCTATAATGGTAATGACGGGAAAGTTTTTAACATACAGAGAATATGGTCGTGTCAGGTAGAACTCTGGGTGTTCAACTGAATAATTTGATATTTTTCCTGAGTAGAAGGGCAATATCTTGTCTGCTAGAGGACTTGTGTTTTGACAGGATGTGGTAGTTGAAGGGTGTGGAGAGAAAAATAGTTGATGATCAGTTCGGTATTGTTTTGGAAATGGTTAAAATGTTGTCATTAATATGTTTGTATAGCTGTAGTAACTTGCATTTCTTGTAGTTCCAACAGTGCTGGATGTTAACATTAAAAAACTGATAAAGAAAAGAACTTACGTGAAGTAGCAGTTACCAGGGTGAGAAGGATTACCGTATGATGTTCTCATCATTTAGTTTCTAAGTCTGGCATAGTCTGCTCTGTGAAGACGTAGGTAATATTCAGCTATTTCACAGATTTGCTTGAAAAACATCAGAGGATATTTGGCTGTTTCTGGGTCAGTAGAATTGGTAAAGACGTCCATAACAAAGACAACAGGATCCTTCGTTTCATGTAAACTTATTTTTCAGTGTGTAATGTAGGCTGGGAGTGTTTGTCTCATTGCTACTGTATGTTTTTGCTTGCTGGTTGGGCTGTAGTATCGTTCGTGTTCTTGAGAATAATTTGGCTTTTGTTGTCGTGATGGCTGACTTTTGATGAATGTTATTTTGGTAGCTGATCGACTTATGGTCGATCTAATCCTCTAGTCTTTCATTCATACTTGCTGGTATTACAAGCATACACGGTTGACACAACTGGTTGGTTTTCGGAACACTTTATCTTAGCTGTTCTGGTATGGCAGAACTGTTGGCAGTTGAAACACTATAAAAACAGTGGTAGGTATGCATTAGACTCTTCGACAAATTAAGGCGAGTACTATATGAAGGTTCTTGACTTGAGAAGTTGGATGGCTTGCAGAGGTTTTTGTAGTGTGACTCTGATCAGGGAGGTCATTTCGCCTCTCTTGAATGATTCTATGCAAGAAGCCTTCAGAATGATGTATACTTGCTTAGTTATTTCTTTTTGTATTTCATCGTCGGCTATATCCACTGGAACTTCTCAGATGTTGATTATTCATTTAGATGAGGTGTAACACCATTGTTAACTGTAACACCATTGAGTGGTGATAAAGCTGATGTTCTCATTTGGGGCAGAGCAAATTCCACTCCTTGGTAGGCGGTGCACATTCATGAGGCTAATGTGCGGGAACAGGAACCGAAAGCTGTTGAAAGGTTGGTGGAATATCCTCAACGATTATAGCTGGAGGGTGTGTATCTACAGAGGTGCTAACTAGCTTGATGTTGATATACATGTCGTTTTCTACAATAGTTGAGATTGTATAGCTGCTGCTTGAGGAATTTGGAGTCAGTAATATTGAGGGTACTTTCGCTTGAGGAGTTAACTTCTGAATCCAACAAAGAGGTGAGAGAGCATCAAAGTGTCTTCATCTGCTGATTAGCAGTGTTGTTGTTGGACTTCTTTATATCTTGCTATCATGTAGACGTATGGTGAGCAGTGTGCCAGGAAATCCTGAACGGACTATTAGATAGGATAGGACAAAGGAACAGAAAAAAACACATTCTTCTTCACCTTGATTTTAATCAACAGCATTGGATGTGTCACTAATGATCTTTACACGTAATTACTTTATTTGGTTCCCCATATATTTGTACATGTGGGCTTTCAATATGTGATATTTACAATGAACTATTCTTTGTTTGTTTTATTCTTTAGTGTACATAACTTCGAAACAGAAAATAAATTGTCAAAAAAAAAAGAACACTGATTCCTCAGCTTGCACTAGTCTAATTACTGATGTGTAGCTTAATTGAGTTATCTTTGCTTTCTATTTTAGTATGGACACATCATAAACTCCAGTTATTCTTCGAGAATGTTAGTGGATGCATGGGGCTCACTACATGTAGAAGATCTCAGGTCTGAAGATGCAGGCTTGTATAGTTGTGGTGCTTCAAATAGTCTTGGATTCGCAAGTAAAGATGTCCGATTAATCGTGTCGATATCGAATAAAACAATTTCAAGTAAGTGTTCAGCATCTTAAATGTTCAATGATGCCTTAAAAACATATTCATATTGTTCCAAAGTTGTGCTTAAATTTTATCCAATATTCATTTAACCACATTTATTTTGGATTAAAGTGAATAGTGGTCAACTGGGAATTTTTGTTTTTTGTGACACAAGTGCTCGTTCCATTTTTAATGACCATAAACGTGGTGGCCTGTGGTGTTCTTACCCCATGCTCATCCAGAACATTTCCTTTTGAAAACACATGGGAATTTTTGTTTTTTGTGACACAAGTGCTCGTTCCATTTTTAATGACCATAATCTTGTGCAATTTTAAGTTATGACAACCTAGCATCAAGTACTTTCCCAAATGCTACTCTAACTTTGGCCTGTGGGTATTTAAATGCTTATAATCCACTTCTGTGGGTCTGCACATTCTGACGTTAATGATTTACTCTTAACGATGAAACCCGTTCTTGTTAAGAGCCTTACTGTGGCAAAGTTCCTGCCTTACTACAATATCTAATAATATAAGTTTTAAATGTGCTTGTAATGTTCATGTAGATATTTTAGTAAGCTTGAGGGATTATGTTGCTATAATTTAGGGTTTGATGCCCATAGTGGACAATGCATATACACTAAGTCACAAACTTTTGTTACACATCATTTTCCACGTATGACTAAAATCTTATTATTGCTGCATCTCCTATTTAATATTTTATAAAACAAATTACTCTTCAGTCAATGATACCCTACTTGTGAATACTATTTCTTAGCTTAGTTATGCTATCACCATTGGAAAATCATTAGCTTCCTGTTAGAGATGGAACTTCAGTTCCAACAAACCAATTGCTATATGACGAAAAGCTTAATGCTGTATTTCTCTGTCAATTTACAGTCTGTATCAATCAAATTAATAAACATTTTTGTTTAAAATTGATAAAAATATTTTATTAGCTGAAGTAATGCATAACAACGCAATGTGTCAAAAATATTACCATATATGTATGCTAAAGTTAACTACATAAAATCAATATTTAATCTGTATTGATAAAATATCATCCTAGATTAAGTATGTCGCTTATATTTTGTAATCAAATGAAAAACTGTTAAGATTTTAAGACTTACCGTTGTGTAGCTTTAGTCAATGTAATTTTTCTGAAGCTTAATTCTAAATCAAGTTTGTTCGAAGAAATGTGTACAGATTTTTTCTAATATTTCACATTGGTTTAATTTTTTTTATCCTAGATGAAACTGAATTATTTCCCGAACTAGAAGTTGTCAACGTGACTGTAAACAGCATCCAACTGTACATAACCAGCAGCTCTTCTGAATGGTTTAGCTATTATTACATCACTTTCCGTAACCAGTACGACACGTATAACACAACAGTCAGAAAACGTGAGTTTCCTTAAACCTTATATTAGCTTCGTAATGGAATAAAATTAATCAGATATTTTTGACCACTTCTCAAAGAAAGCTCGAAATGAAGTTTTTCTTCCCTTTATCGTGATGCGCAGCTCATTCTCATTTTCTACATAGACGTTATAAATATAGCTATTTATATAATTTTACGGGAAGTTACTAATACACGTTGAATTATGCTTAAATGAAGATCTCGAAGTCCTCATAAGTACCATTTCATTTCGGCCATATTGTTAGTTAATACACGACTGTTTC